CTGCTGCAGAGCCCCAAATCCTCTCCCTGCCACGACACGCCTGCAGAGAAGCAGGACAACGTGAGCGACGCTGGAGCATCGGGGCAGCCACGCCCGGGAAGACCAGCGGTGCTGCAAACCCTGGGTCTGATTTTTCTGCTCCTTATTCCGGTGTGGAAACCCAGAGCGTGCCTTGGCTCCCTCCTCCTCGCGTGTGGAGCTGCATCCGACGGCGGCTCGCAGCTGCTGGCAGAGCACGCGGCACCGCTGGCACCTTCAGAAAGGGCTTTTGCACTCTTCTCCTCTCTCCAGATCATCAGGACAGCGACAAGGACCTTATGGAGTGAGCAAAGCACAAAACGCTGATGCTGCCTGCAGGAAACACGGAGGTTCAGGAGGACCTTCCTGGCCCGAGAGCCCCCGTCGCTCTCCGAGAGGCAGATGGTGAAGAACCAGCTGCAGCTCCCGGTGCAAACGCATCCCCACGTGCTTAGCTACGGGCGAACGACTCCAGTCGGCACAAAGAGCACCCCTCATCCCCGCTGGCCGCTTGGCCCACGAGGGGGAAGCCGCAGGGCCGGATTCCCTGCAGCGAGGGCTGGAGCGACCAAGGGTGAAGCAAGAGGCCGTTGCGTTTGTTCAGGCAACGGCAAACTCGCCCTGAATCCACGTCAGTGACGCCCGCAGCAGCCTGGTGTTTTTGTTCTCCGGAAAGGTGCTGGTTCAAGGAACTGCTGCTTGATTTAGCAACCAAGAGGATCAATGGCCCATTAAGAAGAAACTAATTGCCACAGCCTCTCTCCGTGTATCACTTCAGTAAACAAATTAATTTGCTATTAATTGGTATGTGCACTTTGAAACAACAGTGAGGTATCAACCGCCTTCTTCCTCTGGAATATCTTCCACGGGAGTGCATCGCTCATGAACTCCTGGCTCCGGCGCCGCAGCCAGGAGCGGTGTCGCTCTGCTGGCACCGCTCTCCCGCGCACAGCCCGCGCAGCCCCTTCCCTCGGCCGGGCAGGCAGACGGTGCGAGCACAAAGGGCTCTGCAGATCAAGTGGTCACAGCAGCAAGGT